CATCCTTCATCCACAGCTCCCTCCTTCACCCACAGCTCCATCTTTCACCCACAGCTCCCTCATTCAACCACAGCTCTCTCCTTCATCCACAGCTCTCTCCTTCATCCACAGCTCTCTCCTTCATCCACAGCTCCCTCCTTCATCCACAGCTCTCTCCTTCATCCACAGCTCCATCTTTCACCCACAGCTCCCTCCTTCATCCACAGCTCCATCTTTCACCCACAGCTCTCTCCTTCATCCACAGCTCTCTCCTTCATCCACAGCTCCCTCCTTCATCCACAGCTCTCTCCTTCATCCACAGCTCCCTCCTTCATCCACAGCTCCCTCCTTCATCCACAGCTCTCTCCTTCATCCACAGCTCCCTCCTTCATCCACAGCTCTCTCCTTCATCCACAGCTATCTCCTTCACCCACAGCTCTCTCCTTCACCCACAGCTCTCTCCTTCACCCACAGCTCCCTCCTTCATCCACAGCTCTCTCCTTCATCCACAGCCCTCTCCTTCATCCACAGCTCCCTCCTTCATCCACAACTCCATCTTTCATCCACAGCTCCCTCCTTCACCCACAGCTCTCTCCTTCACCCACAGCTCCCTCCTTCATCCACAGCTCTCTCCTTCACCCACAGCTCTCTCCTTCACCCACAGCTCCCTCCTTCATCCACAGCTCTCTCCTTCATCCACAGCCCTCTCCTTCATCCACAGCTCTCTCCTTCATCCACAGCTCCCTCCTTCATCCACAGCTCCCTCCTTCATCCACAGCTCTCTCCTTCATCCACAGCTCCCTCCTTCATCCACAGCTCCCTCCTTCATCCACAGCTCTCTCCTTCATCCACAGCTCCCTCCTTCATCCACAGCTCTCTCCTTCATCCACAGCTCTCTCCTTCACCCACAGCTCTCTCCTTCACCCACAGCTCTCTCCTTCACCCACAGCTCCCTCCTTCATCCACAGCTCTCTCCTTCATCCACAGCTCTCTCCTTCATCCACAGCTCTCTCCTTCATCCACAGTTCCCTCCTTCATCCACAGCTCTCTCCTTCATCAACAGCTCTCTCCTTCATCCACAGCTCCCTCCTTCATCCACAGCTCCCTCCTTCATCCACAGCTCCATCTTTCACCCACAGCTCCCTCCTTCATCCACAGCTCCATCTTTCACCCACAGCTCTCTCCTTCATCCACAGCTCTCTCCTTCATCCACAGCTCTCTCCTTCATCCACAGCTCCCTCCTTCATCCACAGCTCCATCTTTCACCCACAGCTCTCTCCTTCATCCACAGCTCCCTCCTTCATCCACAGCTCCCTCCTTCACCCACAGCTCCCTCCTTCATCCACAGCTCTCTCCTTCAACCACAGCTCTCTCCTTCACCCACAGCTCCCTCCTTCATCCACAGCTCCCTCCTTCACCCACAGCTCCCTCCTTCATCCACAGCTCTCTCCTTCATCCACAGCTCTCTCCTTCATCCACAGCTCTCTCCTTCATCCACAGCTCTCTCCTTCATCCACAGCTCCCTCCTTCATCCACAGCTCCCTCCTTCATCCACAGCTCTCTCCTTCATCCACAGCTCCCTCCTTCATCCACAGCTCCCTCCTTCATCCACAGCTCTCTCCTTCATCCACAGCCCCCTCCTTCACCAACAGCTCCATCTTTCACCCACAGCTCCCTCCTTCATCCACAGCTCCCTCCTTCATCCACAGCTCCATCTTTCACCCACAGCTCCCTCCTTCATCCAGAGCTCCCTCCTTCATCCACAGCTCTCTCCTTCATCCACAGCTCTCCCCTTCATCCACAGCTCTCTCCTTCATCCACAGCTCCCTCCTTCACCCACATCTCCCTCCTTCATCCACAGCTCCCTCCTTCAACCACAGCTCCCTCCTTCATCCACAGCTCTCTCTTTCATCCACAGCTCCCTCCTTCATCCACAGCTCCCTCCTTCATCCACAGCTCTCTCCTTCAACCACAGCTCTCTCCTTCAACCACAGCTCTCTCCTTCATCCACAGCTCCCTCCTTCATCCACAGCTCCCTCCTTCACCCACAGCTCCCTCCTTCATCCACAGCTCTCTCCTTCATCCACAGCTCTCTCCTTCATCCACAGCTTTCTCCTTCATCCACAGCTCCCTCCTTCATCCACAGCTCTCTCCTTCATCCACAGCTCTCTCCTTCACCTACAGCTCCCTCCTTCACCCACAGCTCCCTCCTTCATCCACAGCTCTCTCCTTCATCCACAGCTCCCTCCTTCATCCACAGCTCTCTCCTTCAACCACAGCTCTCTCCTTCATCCACAGGTCCCTCCTTCATCCACAGCTCCCTCCTTCATCCACAGCTCTCTGCTTCATCCACAGCTCTCTGCTTCATCCACAGTCCTCTCCTTCACCCACAGCTCTCTCCTTCACCCACAGCTCTCTCCTTCAACCACAGCTCTCTCCTTCATCCACAGCTCTCTCCTTCATCCACAGCTCCCTCCTTCATCCACAGCTCCATCTTTCACCCACAGCTCCCTCCTTCATCCACAGCTCTCTCCTTCATCCACAGCTCTCTCCTTCATCCACAGCTCCCTCCTTCATCCACAGCTCCATCTTTCACCCACCGCTCCCTCCTTCACCCACAGCTCTCTCCTTCATCCACAGCTCCCTCCTTCACCCACAGCTCTCTCCTTCAACCACAGCTCTCTCCTTCAACCACAGCTCTGTCCTTCATCCACAGCTCTCTCCTTCATCCACAGCTCCCTCCTTCATCCACAGCTCCATCTTTCACCCACAGCTCCCTCCTTCACCCACAGCTCCCTCCTTCATCCACAGCTCTCTCCTTCATCCACAGCTCTCTAACAAAATTTCAATCAACCGAAAAACCTTATAAAAAATTTATTCTACAATCACGATAACGGGTCCATAACAGAGGGTTTGTGTGTTGGCTTAGATCGAGTGAAAATATAAATGTTGTGTTGTTAAACCCGCCACCACCCGACACAGCCAGCTAGAGTCTGGGTTGTCACGAACAAAACGTGTCAATTCGTCACTAGTACAGCAACTGGGGAGACGCCACGGCAAATGTTGTGGCTTGTAGTGTACTAGTGTATAGTGTAGTGTATAGTGTAGTATACTAGTACAGCACTAGTGTATAGTGTAGTGTATAGTGTAGTATACTAGTACAGCACTAGTGTGTAGTGTATAATGTATACTAGTACAGCACTACATCTCCAACACAGGCGGTGTAGTGCTGTACTAGTATACTACACTATACACTACACACTAGTGCTGTACTAGTATACAACACTATACACTACACTATACACTACACTAGGCTGTGTGCTGTGATCGTGACGAACCGGCCCCGTGCTATTCACACGACACTCACGTTCACTAGGTGGCTGTGTCGGGTGGTGGCGGGTTTAACGACACATTCATATACTTACACGATCTAAGACCCCACACCCCCCCCACCCCAAAAAAACACAACCTCAATTACGGATGACATTGGTAGCGAAAGCGTCTGTGTTAAAATGACAATAGGTACATTCATACTCACACATTACACATCATTGAAGAGACACACACACAACGCACCACACAACGCACCACACACACACACAACGCACCACACACACCACACCACGCACCACACACACACAGGACACACACACAGCACACTGGACACACACACACACAGCACACTGGACACACACACACACAGCACACTGGACACACACACACACAGCACACTGGACACACACACACAGCACACTGGACACACACACACACAGCACACTGGACACACACACAACGCACCACACACACTGGACACACACACAACGCACCACACACACCGCACCACACACACCGCACCACACCACACACCACACCACACACACACAGGACACACACACACAGCACACTGGACACACACACAACGCACCACACACATGACACAGCACACTGGACACACACACACACCACACACACAGCACACTGGACACACACACACACCACACACACACACCACACACACACCACACACACTACACACCCGGACAATCTTGCCTGCTGCTAATTCGTCACGCGTGGCTGAACCGTGGAACTCTAAATCCATCCGAACCGACTCAGTGCATCCATCATCACCACGCAACCATCGAGTCGACGGACATACAAACACACACACACATTGAGACAGACACACACACACAGAGACACACACAGACAGAGAGACAGACAAAGACAGAGCGAGAAAAACAACAAGAGAGACAGCGAGAAAGACGGACACGGCGTGACACACTCTGGCAGCTAAACATTTTTCCCCTCCGACAAAAGCTCACGGACAACGGGCTTGCCACACACACACACAGTGCGACGTTTACCGCCACCGCCACCGCCACCACCGCACGCTTGCAGAGCCAACTCAACTAAGCAGCAGCAGCAAGCATTTGCCCCGACAGCCTGTTCAGGCTATACGGGGGATTTTTGTCTTTTGCGTGCACCTAGCCTGGCACAGTGGGAGGCACAGCTGGTGCATCGGGCAGTCGTCTCGGTCAGTCGACCCGTGGCACCAGCTGGGTCTGCCCCGTGACCTCCTGCACCTAGCCTGGCACAGGTGGTGCATCGGCCAGTCATCTCAGTCGACACGTGGCACCAGCTGGGTCTGCCACGTGACCTCCTGCCGGCGGGGGGCGTTTGACACTTCACGTGGTGGCCTCAACGTGCACCTAGCCTGGCACAAGCGCTGTCACTGCCACTTAGTGGTGAACGGCGGATGTTGTTGTTGACGTAGTTGTTGGTGTGTACGTAGTTGTTGTTGTGTACGTAGTTGTTGGTGTGTACGTAGTTGTTGGTGTGTGTACGTAGTTGTTGTTGTTGTGTAGGTAGTTGTTGTGTAGGTAGTTGTTGGTGTGTACGTAGTTGTTGTTGTTGTGTAGGTAGTTGTTGGTGTGTACGTAGTTGTTGTTGTTGTTGTGTAGGTAGTTGTTGGTGTGTACGTAGTTGTTGTTGTTGTTGTGTAGGTAGTTGTTGTTGTGTAGGTAGTTGTTGGTGTGTACGTAGTTGTTGTTGTTGTTGTGTAGGTAGTTGTTGTTGTGTAGGTAGTTGTTGGTGTGTGCGTAGTTGTTGTTGTTGTTGTGTAGGTAGTTGTTGTTGTGTAGGTAGTTGTTGGTGTGTGTACGCGTGGAACGGCTTTCGCACCGCCGTAACGCAGCAAGCCAAACCGCGCTCGTCGGAGGAAGCACAACAACACACCAACACACAACACACACACAACAACAAGGTGTGAGACGCCGCCGTCGCCGCGACTACGTTACATGGGCGGCACGGGCGAGCAGGCGGCCATGAGCCCCGAGTGACCCAGCTCCAGAAGCAGCACCACCACCACCACCATCATCATCACCACCACCACCGCTGGTACCACCACCTCCGCTGGTGCGACCGCTGGTGCTGCCTCCGCTGGCGCGTGGCTCTTGAACGGGGGTGCTGGCGTTGGTGAGCAGAGAGGGGTCCGACAGCGCAGACAGCAGCCCAGTGCCACCCAACTCCTTGAGCACCTGTGGGAGAGCGTGGGGAGGTGGCGAGGGTGGTGGGGGTGGTGGTGATGAGGGTGGTGAGGGTGGTGGTGGTGGGTGGTGGTGATGGTGGTGGGTGAGGGTGGTGGGGAGAGTGGTGAGGGTGGTGAGCTTGGTGGTGAGGGTGGTGGTGAGGGTGGTGAGGGTGGGGAGGGTGGGGAGGGTGGTGAGGGTGGTGAGGGTGGTGGTGAGGGTGGTGGTGAGGGTGGGCGAGGGTGGGAGACAATGGTGAGGGTGGGGAGGGTGGTGAGGGTGGTGGTGAGGGTGGGCGAGGGTGGTGGTGAGGGTGGTGGTGAGGGAGGTGGTGAGGGAGGTGGTGAGGGTGAGGGTGGTGGTGAGGGGGGTGGTGGTGAGGGTGGTGGTGAGGGTGGTGAGCGTGGGGAGAGCGTGGGGAGGTGGTGGTGAGGGTGGGAGATAATGGTAAGGGTGGCGGTGGTGATGATGGCGGTGATGATAAGAGGCGGTGGTGATAGCTGGTGACGATACCTGTTGATGATGGCAGTGACGATAGCGCCGGTGGCTGTTGCTGCAGCAGCAGCAGCAGCTGCAGCAGCAGCAGCTGCAGTAGCAGCTGCAGTAGTAGTAGTAGCAGCAGCAGCAGCGTCGTCATCATCGACGACCAGGTCGCACCTGCGGAGATGGAGCGACGTCGGGCAGCATGAAGAACGACTCCCCCGGAGGGCGGGCGACTCCGCTGGGCTCGTCCCTCTTGAGGGAGTCGTCCCTCTTGAGGGAGTCGTCCAACAAGGAGGACTCCAGCTTCTCCGACGCCACCTTGACTCCCTGGGCAGACGGTGTGGGTTCAGATTCACCGCGGAGAGTTTAACCGCGAAGAGTTTCACCGCAAAGAGTTTCACCGCGACAGGTTCACCGCGGTGAACTCGCCGCGGTGAAACTCACCGCAGTCGAGGGGTGTTTGTGTTGCCCCGCAAGCAGCAGCTTCAGTTCCCACCCCCGTAAAACAACCCCCACCCATCTTCTCCCCTAGCCCAGCATCACCATCATCATCACCATTATCATCATCACCATCGACATCATCACTATCACCATCATCATCACCATCATCATCACCATCATCATCACCACCATCATCACCACCATCATCACCATCACCACCATCATCACCACCATCATCATCATCATCACCACCATCATCACCATCATCATCATCACCATTATCATCACCATCATCATCACCATCATCGACATCATCACCATCATCATCACCATCATCATCACCATCATCATCACCATCATCATCATCACCACCATCATCACCACCATCATCACCATCACCACCATCATCACCACCATCATCATCATCATCACCACCATCATCACCATCATCATCATCACCATTATCATCACCATCATCATCACCATCATCGACATCATCACCATCATCATCACCATCATCATCACCATCATCATCACCATCATCATCATCACCACCATCATCACCACCATCATCACCATCACCACCATCATCACCACCATCATCATCATCATCACCACCATCATCACCATCATCATCATCACCATTATCATCACCATCATCATCACCATCATCGACATCATCACCATCATCATCACCATCATCATCACCATCATCATCACCATCATCATCATCACCACCATCATCACCACCATCATCACCACCATCATCACCACCATCATCACCACCATCATCATCATCATCACCACCATCATCACCATCATCATCATCACCATTATCATCACCATCATCATCACCATCATCGACATCACCACCATCATCACCATCATCATCACCACCATCATCACCACCATCATCACCACCATCATCATCATCATCATCACCACCATCATCATCATCACCACCATCATCACCATCATCATCATCACCATCATCACCATCATCACCATCATCATCACCATCATCATCACCATCATCACCATCATCATCACCATCATCATCACCATCATCATCACCATCATCACCATCATCACCATCCTGTTGCTACTCACTAACCCCCTCCAGCTACGACCACCCCTATCACCACCCCAACCCCTATCACCACCACAACCCCTACCACTACCACAACCCCCATCACCACCACAACCCCTATCACCACCACAACCCCTATCACCACCACAACCCCTATCACCACCACAACCCCTATCACCACCACAACCCCTATCACCACCACAACCCCTACCACTACCACAACCCCTATCACTACCACAACCCCTACCACTACCACAACCCCTATCACCACCACAACCCCTACCACTACCACAACCCCTATCACCACCACAACCCCTATAACTACCACAACCCCTATCACTACCACAACCCCTATCACCACCACAACCCCTATAACTACCACAACCCCTACAACTACCACAACCCCTATCACCACCACAACCCCTATCACTACCACAACCCCTACCACTACCACAACCCCTATCACTACCACGACCCCTATCACTACCACGACCCCTATCACTACCACAACCCCTATCACTACCACCAAACCCTCGTTTGCTGCTGCTTCCGCTACCCCCCACAACACCCACACCACCCACAGCACTCGCAGCTGCACCCGCATCAACCAGCTGCACCCCCAGCTGCACCTGCAGCTGCACTGGCCTCACCGCGTGGCTGCCGTTTTTGCAAATGCGGTGGTCACAGCCGCAGTTGTGGCGAGAGCATGCCAATCCCGCTCTCCTGCAGCCGCACCGGAGAGTTGCACAGTTCTGTTTACAGCGACACTGCACAGCACAGAGACACCACCACCACCACACGCTTAGTAGCAGCAGTAGTAGCAGTAGTAGTAGCCACAATGCCGCGTATCACAGCGTCCGTTACAGCGACACTGCACAGCACAGAGACACCACCACCACCACCACAACACGTTTAGTAATAGTAGCAGTGCACGCGCGTGCGTGAGTGTGTACGTATGTGTTACGCGCGTACGTACGTATGTACGTGCGTGACTGTACGCGCGTGTACCCGTGTGCGCGTGCGTGCGTGACTGTACGTGTGCATGTGAAGTACCGGTGAAGACACTTGACACCGAGGTGGAGGCACACGTATATTTATTTTACACAACTCGTTCGTGGCATACAGCACTGGAGGGGGTATCGGCCCCCTCACCCGACTAGCTAAGGATACACTTCCTAGCTAATCCTAGCCTGCCTCTCAGTCCTCCACTAATGGGCTAGGGGAGGCTATTTGGCCCGACACTGGTAAGTCGGGCCCGGTACCCGGAGTCCCAGACCAGCTCTTAGAAGAGCACCGGCTCTGGCTCTCGGGACCACGCCGCTGGCTCAGTCCTGTTCGGCCCTGATAAGGACATCGAACGAGGGGAGTCCAGGGCTCTATCTAAGACGTCTTCAGTCTTCTCTGGTTAGCTTTTAACATAACTGACTCGAGCCCCTATAACGTCCCCTTTTATACCCAACCCCTCCCTGAGGGGTGGGGCCCCGGGGGATCATAACGTTCGAACCAGCCCCCCCCAGGGTGTCTGGCTCGGACGTCGCAGAGGGCATCTCCCCGTGCACACACGTAGCCCCGCCCACTGTGTTTGTTTCCCATAGACTGCCATGCATAACGGGCCCTCTCTTTAACACCCCTACATCACCCCCCCCCCGCATAGCTCGCAGCCGTCCCGGCTGCCAACATACAAAATGACAATAAAAATGAATTTATACCGTAACCGCGCGTGTGCCTCACTAATTTTCAACAATAACAAGAACGGCAACAAGAACACAACAAAATGCAACAGCAAGAAGAGAAAACAACCCGACGCACCCCCCCCCCCTTGAATAAATGCGAATTCCGTAAAAAAACAACCTATATACAATTTGCAGGGAACCCACCATACACACAACACCAGGTGAACCCAACGTATGTACATTTCAATGGGCAGGGAACACACCACCCACACAACACACAATGAACACAACCTATATACACATCTTCCGGCCTCATAACAGTCTGCGCATTTTTGCGCGCGTCCTTGCAGCGGGCCCCTCACACGGGGTAACCCCGGATGGCGGACCGTCAGGTGGCAATTGTCCGTCCCGGAGTGAGACCTCCTCCGATGCCGCGTGACCGTTGGTATCCCCAGGAGGGGTGGTCGGGCGTGAGCCCGTCAGTCCTGATGCACCTGGAGGTGGCACGGCCGGCAAGGCATTAGGTGAGAACGACGGAGACGGACCCAGTGAGTCGGTCGACTCCCCACACGTTTGGCCACGCATGTGTGAAGTGGGTTTGTGTACCGCAACGAGGGGTTTTAACCTAGAGGGGTGCACGAACCATCGCCGCTTCCCCCATTTAATGCGCACGCACTGTGGTCGCAAAACTTCGACCACCTCCACAGGGCCCCGCCACGGCCGCGCCAGCTTAGGGGAGGTAGCCAGGGGCACTTGGGGACAGTGCAACCATGCCTTGTCCCCCGGCTTCCACTGTATCACGTGCGCCCGACCCAGCCTGAGGCGCTCATTCGCTTTTTGACGGAGGTCCGAGTTTAGCATAGCAGCATCCCGCGCCTCTGTTAATTTGGCCAGATTAAATTTGACGTGGTCAGCCAATTTAGTTTTCCCTTGCGGGTCGGGGATCTGCAGCTGGGCGCGAACAGGCGGGTCGGGTTCACGACCGTACATGAGGTAAAAGGGGGAAAATCCCGTAGCTGCATGGGGTGCCATCCGGTATGCCGCCAAGACCCCTTGAATATGCAGGTCCCAGTCAGTCTGCGAGTCCGAGACCTGCTGTGACATCATTGACGTAATGGTGCGATGCAGGCGCTCGACCATTCCGTCAGTTTGCGGGTGATACGGGGAGGTACGAATTTTCTTCGTGCCTAAGAGGTCACAGACTTGTTTGAGTAATTTACCGGAAAAATTTCTGCCCTGGTCGGTCAGCAGCCGCTCCGGAGCACCTTTGTCCAGGACGTATCCCTGAACAAAGGCCTCCACGATGGCTGCTGCCGACTGGTTGGCAAGGGGCCAGGCCATAGGCCAGCGCGTAAAATACTCGACACCTGTCAACAAATACCTATTGCCCCTGGGGGTGGCGGGAAATGGGCCCAAAATGTCCAGCGCGACAAGCTCATTTATTCTGGATACTTTGATCGATTGCAAGGGCGGGTTAGACTCCCGCGCCGGCGGTTTCCGTTGCGCACACCGAGGGCATGATCCCAATAGATCCCCAACATCCCTCGTCATACCAGGCCAAAAAAAATCAAGTTGTAGCAGTGCAAGAGTCTTTTGGGTCCCCAGGTGTAATAGGCGCTCATGCGCGGCCCACACCACCTTGCCTCGCAACTCAGAAGGGACCACCAGCCGATGTCGCTGGGATTTGCCGTCCCAATGCATCAGCAGACCTTGCACCATTTCCCATGCATCCGAATCACCCTTCACCCGCCCAGCACCCCCGACGCGACGACGCCACCCGAGGAGGGAGGTATCCTCCATTTGGAGGCGCCCCCATTCAGTGACGGGCAACCCCAACAGGGAATCTCTTCCCTGTTGTTCGATCGAATTAGTAACCAATGGTTCGTCGTCGTCGGTGGCTGCCAAGACCGGAACCGATGCGTCCCCTGAAGGCCTGCAACGTCCCGACCCCAGGAGGCATGCACATTCGGAGGTGGTTGGCATGCGCGACAGAGCGTCCGCATTCGTATGGCGAACGCCCTTACGGTAGGTGGTTTCAAAATCAAAGTCCTGGAGAACCTCCAACCATCGAGACAACTGTCCCGATGGTTGTTGAACTCGCAGGGCATACTGTAGTGCCGCATGATCTGTGCGGACGGTGAAATGCCGACCGTACAGATATGGGCGATACTGTTGGATGAAATAGACAATTGCCAACAGTTCCCTACGGGTGACACAATATCTTTGCTCCGCAAGAGACAACACCCGACTACCGTACGCGACCACCCGTTCCACGCCATCAACCACCTG